AAGTTGTCACTTGTCAGGGGCTCAGGCCATTGAGAAAATAAAATAATCGTCAAGCATAAATGGTTAACACAAATAAAAATTTTAAAAGAATAATTCTCTTGAAAGCAGCATTCAATGTTTGTAAATTGTTGAAATGTTCAAGCCTTCTAGCTCTACCAACAGACTCCAACTTACCAAGAATAAATAATACTACCTAGTTTGGGAAAATTCTATACCGAAACAGCCTACAATACAGGGATACAGCTGTACAACTACACTGTAGAGTGTAGCACTGTAGCATGACAGGCTGACTAGCCTCAACAGTCACAGTGTAGCTTACTTACGGTAGCTCAACACGACGTGACTCACGTGAGGAGGAACGACTGCTGGTGTGATTCACCTCTCGCGGAATCTTTCGCGAATCCGTGCTAGTAACCGTAAATACAGAAATATTTCGAACCCGCACCTCTCTTGGTACCCAAAACTTTAATAGTGACACATCATTTTATTTTCAAGGATGGCCATAACAAACGAGTAAATCGGACAGGCATACTACCTATGTTTGATATACTCGAAGTCACAGGGAGAAGATAACAGGGGACTCATGGTTCAACCACGAGGGGACTTAACCTCAATTTCATAAATAATATACGTTTAAAAATAACTTTTTAAAGACAACACTTCTAAAGAATCCAGTGTCTCCAATGTTACAGATGTACAATGAATTTCTCATTTTATTTTAAAATATTAAAAAAATTAATTTTTCAATTTTGTTTAATATATAAAATTTTGTTTTAAAATTATTTATTCTGTCAATTGATTCATGCATTGCCTCCGACTTTACACAAGTGTGCAAAATTTCAGATCAATTGGAGTGGTAAAAATGTGTCAAATATCAGTTATAAGATTTTTAGCTGACAAAATTATTTTTTCAATTTTTTTAATATTAAAAAAAAATAATTTTTAAACTCATTTATCATTTGATTCATGCATTGTCTCCAACTTTACGCAAGTGTGCAAAGATAGGATAAGTAGAAGTGTGTTAAATTTCGATTATAAAATTTGTAACAGAGTGAAGTGAAACAAGAAACAAGAAGTGAAGTTAAAGAGAAGTGTTTAAAAACTGGCATTGAACGCGATCGTGTCCATTTGCAGATGTGAATCAATCAACATAAGCTTAATTGACGTATTTTCTGGTGAAAATTGAATTTTTCTAATGTTTTTCCGTCGACTTAATCACATCTTTTCAATTGAAAAATTTGACATTTGAGGCAAACCTGTTGTTATTAATCCAGAAAATGATCGCCAGTTTCTGACTCAAAAATATACCGTTATGTGTTTCGTATATGCAGAATTTGTCACAAATTTTCATAAAACATCGAACGAGTTTAAATGCATTGACCAAACCTTCATTACTGCATTTCTTCTAACAATAATTAATGCTCTGTGAGTCCGGCTGAGGAAATTCTAATTCTGAGCTCGGATTTTTTTTTCTTTGTAGAAGGCCGTAGACTAATTTTCGGATAGATAGAACATGGAAAAAAATTTCATCTAAATGCATTACCTAAATATTTACCGAAAAGAGGGCTAAATAGTTTCCACGTTGATTGAAATGATTGGATGTGCTATACTGATTTTAAAAATGTGTTCTAAATTCATGTAAAGAAAAGAGCACTTTTTGCCCTCATGTGATGGTGCCCTCATTTTGATGGTGACTTCGAATCTTAATTTCGCACCAAAGAAGGGGCAACTCAGACGTCGTCCACCGCATGTAGACTCTACATAAACAAAATTAGCGGAGCTTCACATACACGGCATACATACAACATTCACCAGATGTAAACGATCAGTCACATGCAGGCCATATCGTTCATACAGGTCATTTTTTCGTCACAAGAAAACGATCACTTATTCGCCACATGCGACCGATCAGTTGTTCGCCACATACGACCGATCGCAACCGATCACTTGTTCGCCACATGCGACCGATCGCAACCGATCACTTATTCGCCACATGTACACGATTAATTATTCGCCATACACATACGATTAATTATTCGTCACGAGTAAGCGATCACTTATTCGCCACGTGTGAGCGATCACTTGTTCGCCACATGCAACCGATCGTTTATTCGCCACATGCACGCGATTAGTTATTCGCCATACATATACGATTAATTATTCACCACGGGTGAGCGATCATTTATTCGCCACGTGTGAGCGATCGTCTATTCGCCACATGCACACGATTAATTATTCGACATACACATACGATCAATTATTCGCTATTCAGCTCGTTCGGCATTCTGCTATTGTTCATTATTGGTCTGCTATTGTTAATATAATAAAGAGAGCACACCCCAACTGAGTGAAAATTTAAGGGATAATATCGGCAATAGTATATACTAATCGAAGCAAAGAAAAATTTATTATTTGTATTATATCATATTGTATTACCGGGTATGTAGGTAACTATATATGTCCCTGCAATGAAGCATTAGAGATGATTTTGTGCACCTGCAACCATTTTCTACGAAAAATTTCCACGTTAACCGAACAATGTTTTTTTATCGTTGACACATTTTTTAGGCCAACTGGGAGATTTTTTACCACGTTTTTCTTAGCTCGCTTTCGTGTCCGTCTGTGATGATCAAATCTTGCAATCGATATTTCACCAACTTTCCCGCTAGCTTGCGCTCTGAAACTTTTAGGGAAGCTCAGCTCCCGATGACAATACAATAATCAATAATTTGTTGCACGTTTCCAGGCGTATTTATTC